ATTAGGAAGAGATTTTCTACAGAGAGACTAATCAGGCATTGGAGTGGGCTGCTCAGGGAGGTGATGGATTCACCATCCCTGGAGGTTTTTAAGATGAGACTGGATGTGGCATTGAGTGCCATGGTCTAGTAACCATGGTAGAGTTGGACCTGATGATTTTGGAGGTCTTTTCCAACCTGGCTGATTCTATAATTCCTTCCTGCTTCCCTGGGCTGGCCCCCTCCATCCCAAGGGATGCTGACCTTGCACTACAGCTCAGTAGTGCAAAAGCTTGCTCTGAGCACTGGGCAGCCACCTCAGCAAATGTAGGAGGTGTGGACTGCATGGGGAATCCTGCAAATAACGTAGAAGTGGCATTTAAAGAGAAGTAAAAGCCTGGGAGCCTGAAGAAATGCTCTGCTTTGAGCCCCGGCAAATCAGCCCCTAACAGTCTCTCTGAGTGTGCTTCCAAGAGATGTTCAAAAGGATTCAGGTCTCCCATCAAAGTCCTAGAGGTGCAGCCAAAACCCTGTTTGAGATATGCAGAATTCAATGCAACCATCCCCCTGGCATTGCTGCTCTGCCCTGCAGTTTGACCTGCACTGAGCTGGACTAGTCCGGGCCAGAGAAGGCAATGAATCTGGAGAACAAGGCAGGCTCTCCCAGTGCAGCAGTCACCCTGACCTCTTGCTCTTACCTCTCCAGGCATGGCTTTGATGGAGAGGACCACATCACAGGGGAGCTTGCTCGCATTGCAGATCTTGAAGTGAGCTGTGGCCCAGTGCCCAACCAGAACATTGGTGAAGATGAATTCATTCTCATCTCTGATGAACACACCACTGCCTTGCACTGACTCTAGCTTCTGGCAGAGGTCAGCACTACTGCAGATCGGGTACTGTTCAAAGATGGACTCTACGTCTTTGACCACAAGCTCTGTGGACAGACCAGAGGGAGGGCTGAGAGTCCTCCCTGCTGAATTTATCTGCACCCTGTTGACCTGTCAGAAGGCTTGATAAGCCCTTTCTGCCCAGGTGACTGCAAAACCCAGCCCTAGGTGGGGGAGCTGGCTGTGAGGATGGAGCTCAGTCAATTTCATTCTTAAAGGGCACTTCTTTCCTTTCCCCCCTCCATGCATCCCTCCCAGCCTCTCCCCACTGGCAGACTTGAAAAGGACTGGAACCTCTGAGGATTTTAAGGAGGGACTTAAGGGCCAGGTTGCCTCTCTATCCAAGCACCAAGTTTAGGTGCTGATCAGCAGCAGGTGTGACCATGGGAATCTGTGAATAGTACATACGTGGGAGGCAGGACTCGGCCATCAGGGTGAAGGGAATGCCGCGGGGATGGTCCCTGGGGTCTCTGCCGCTGATGTCGATGTACAGCTGCTCCTCACATGTCCCCAGTGTGTTTGCGTGGCAATCCACTGTGATCTTCTGTTTGGCCCCAGGATAGAGAGGGCCGGAGCAAGGGTACACAGTGAACATGCCGAGGGTGAGTTTATCCTGCAGAAAGAGTTCCAGGAGAGGCTGATGCCTAACAGCTCTACCCTGAGCACCCTCAGCAAGGACTATGCCATTCCTTGGCCTCCAGCTAGGCCCACGCACCCAGTCCTAGGGCAGGGAAGGAGGACTCCATGGCCCAAAGGCAGCCCCAGGATGAGATGAACAAGCCAGGAGGGGCTGCAAGCCTGTCCCAAGTGGCAGAGAGAAAGGAGTTTGGGTGTAAGGGGGGAAGGTGGTAGCTGGCATACTTCAGCCTCCTGGGGTAACACAGAAATGATGTGAGAGAGGGAGGGGATTGGGAAGAAGAAAAAGCAAGGTCATCTGAGCTCTGTGGACTGGGAGTTCAAACAGGGACATTTTGCTTCTGTGGTGGTCACAGACTTATGCTGGCTAGCAGCTACCAAACACAGGACCTGCTCCCCTCTCTTGACCCCACAGCTCCAGGTCAGAGCCAGAGCATGGGACTGTCAGTGGAGTGGGACTGAGCAGATAATGGACTCTCCATCCTGCAGACCACGTCCCACCCTGTGGCAGTTAGCCCCCAGCCTGGGCACAGCAGTATCCTCCTATAGCCCCTGTAGCAGCACATGCTGAGGAGCAGGAGCCACCCACCTGCTTGAAGTGCTTTGCACTCCTTGGCAGTGAGGACCTTCTTTCCCTGGCTGAGCCGGTAATTCTGTCTGCCTTTCCATACTCTTTGGAGGGGGCAGATTCCTTTTGATGTGAACTGAGAGAAGAAAGCAGAGACATCTGTCATGCTGAGCTCCCCTGCCTCTCTCTGAGGCCAAAGCTAGCCTTCCTGCCCATGGAGAAAAGACTTCCTGCTCCTGATGGCTCCCAGAGAGCTGCCTGCAGCACCCATTGCTGTAGCTTATGGACAGAGCAGGTCTATCACCAGCTTTGTATTACACGAGGCGTGTTTTTGTGCTCCCTCTTCCCAAGCCAGTGATGCATATGGACAATATCCCAGGTTTCCTGGCTGCCTGTCACACCCATGCTGTGGTGACTCCTCTGACAGGAAGGGTGGTGCAGGTCTTCTTTTACCTTTTCCTTGGCAATACAGGTGTGTCCAGGGCTGCTTGGTCGATTTCATATTTGAAGGTGATGCTGCCATTGTTCTCCAACACGAAGGAGTGGGTTTTCCTGGTGTCCTTCTTCATAACACCAAAGCTGATGGGTGAGGCAGGGTGAATGCTGTACTTGCTGAACACAGCTTTTGCCGACACCCTCAATGGGATGGTGGTGACGGTCTGGTTTCCTTTACTGATGCTGGGATCAGTGATCTGCAACCACAGGAGGGGTGGTAAACACAGCACAGTGGCTAAGCTCAAACTCTGTCCCCTGACCGGACCCCAGGTCTCCATCAGCTCACCCTCCCTTTTTAAACAACTCCTCCAGAGCCAGATTTTCAGCTCCTCCTAGGAAGCCTCCCAAACAGTTTTGAAAGACTTAGTTTGTATCTATAGGACAGAGGATTCCCCGGCTAAAACGTTCCTTCCAGAAAACACCTATCCTCATGCTCCCAAGACATGAGTGCTAATGGCCTGGCCCAGGCAGCTCACCTGGCAGTACAGGATGGATTTGCCCTGTATGTTCACTGCACGTTCAGGGTGGAAGAGTATCTCAACTTTCACAGGGGGCTTGGAGGCCTCCAGCACACCTTTCTCTGGCTTGATAGTGAAGTAGGATGCCAAGTTGCCTATCTTGGTATCTGCACTTCGCAGCATGAAACTGGGGAGAATAGGAAGGAACAAAAACTTCTGAAGTTAAAAGCACAGGTGACACCAGCACAGCCAGGACTTTACACAGGACCAGGAAAAAAAGAAAAGGCAGAGTACAGCTCTTCTTGGGGAGTCCTGGATCTTGGCACAGAATGCAGCCAATCAGAGGGTTACTGCAAGACAATCTTGACACTGAAATTTTTCATTCACTCTTTTAAAGAATCTCAGAGGAAACTAGCCAAACCTCAAAGGAAGGCAATGAATCACAGCAGCGAGTGGCTGAAATTTCTGGGTCTCTACTTTGGCTTCCTGCTGCTGTGAAGAATGGCTGGTGTGTGCCTGGATTCTCTGTTCAAATCGATTAGAGCGCCCAGGTTTTGTATTTACCCAGCCCACAAGGTAGCCAGCATGGGAACAGGTTCTAGCCATGGACAGAGGGAGAATGCAGGCCTGGGAGCCTGAGGAAATGATCCACCAGGCAGCTGGACTCACCTGTACTCAACGTCATACTTTCCTCTGTTCCTTAGAATCAGAACTTCCTTCGTATTGCCCTGCACATTAATGGTTTTAAATTCCAAGTTGCCATCTTGACCTGCAGAAAACACGCAGAGTGAGGTAAGAAATGGTGAGTATTTGTAAGCTGTGCAGACTACACCAGGTGAGGAGCCACAGAGTTGGAGTTCTCAGGTGGCACAAAACTCTTCTCAGCAAGTTTCCATTCTTGGAAATTTTCTCTAGCTACTTGGCTGCTTCTTACTCAGAGTGTATCTGCAGAGTTAGCGGCCAAGAAGCTTGGTGTTCATCTCTTTGCTTCCACACACAAATCCAACTTATGTGCTGTTCCAGTTGGAACTGCCAACTGCCTGTTCACATCACTGTTGTTTCAAATCCCCAAATCTAACCTGCACATGAAGCTGCACACTTCAAAGTTCAGAAGGGAGAGACTCAAGGCTGTTGGTGCCCTGAGAGTGCTTTACTCCATGCCGCTTGCAAGATATGTGCTTTATCCTGTCCCATCTCATCCCACCCTATCCTATCCCAAATGCTCTGGCTGCCCACCTCCCAATGCAATGCTCCCATACTATTTGTCTGGGGGGGGGGCACCTACTGACCTTGAGGTATGCCGATGCTCACAGCAACATCATAGACCTCCACAGAGACTTTGATGTTTTCAGCATGAACCATCCCCAGGATGTTTCCTGCATCTGAAACCTGAGGCAGCAAGAAACAAACACTGCTTAGGCCATCCTTTGGGTAGACAGCCTACAAGTCCATGTCTCTGCTGGCTGCTTCCCCTGTGGCCCACCCAGCTTGACAAACGTTTGGAGACTCCCAAGTTTTCCTAACCTGTTCATCTCACTGGCTGCCCCAATGAGATTCTGCTGCAGGAAGAAACCCTATCAGCCTGACTCTGCGCTCCTACAGGGAATACTGCTGCTAAAGCACCTGGGCAGGCACCGGGATGTAAAAAACAACCACAAGAACTGCAAGGTGTCCCAGAGCAGGTGGCAATGACAATTAACCATCTCCTCTTCAATCACCTATCATCCTCGCTGAAATGCAGCCCCTAAACCATGGGGAACCACATCCTAGGGGCGGTCTGCTGCTCTCTGCGAGAGCCTTGGACAGACTCTGGGATGGGGGCAAAGATCATGCTGAAGTTACAGTTAAACAGCAGCCTCCGACCATGCACAGCAGCAAGGTGGTTGTGGCACAGGCTCAGGATGCAGCACCTGGTAATCTGAGGTGATGTGGATGCACCCCCTGTTCTGGCAAACCCAGCATAGAGGCAGAGGATAGAGCCAAAGTACCCTTGTGTCCATCAGGTGCAGTTCTTCCTGACTCTAAGAGCACAGGGCTGCTCAATTTGCGCTGTTCTGCCAGGGTGGGCACAGTCCCTCTCACCTCAAGCTGAATCATCTTGTCAATGCTGACAACCTTCATGGCCTTGAAATACACTTGCACCTCAAATTCTGTGCCAGGATCAAGGATGCCCTTATCTTGTGACACAGAGAAGTCCTTGCCAAGGTCTTCCAGCCCCGTGAGCTGCCAGGCGAGGGGCAGTGGGGTGGGGTTTTTCAGCACCAGGCACTTGTTGTAGCTACTGCAGAGACAGGCAGATACTTGGCATTGGTCACCTGACGGTCACACCGGCCTCGCCATTTAATGTAACTTGGAGCAGCTCTGTGAAAGCCTCTGACACTAGAGCGAAACATTTTCCCCTTGCCACAAGTCTCAGAGTGCCTGTGGGATGACTGACCTGTGCAGAAGCAGCCGGCCAAAACACAACTCCCTGGGGCTGATATCCAGCTCCACGTGCACCCCTTGGCAGCACACGCTGAAGACCACTGGCTCTGGGTTCTCCTTAATGCAGCAGATGAGTTTGTCTTCCAGGAGGCCAGCGGAAGTGGGGTACGCCCAAATGCTCAGCTCCTGGACCCACCCCCACAACAAGAGATACAAAGAGCACCCCGTGAGCAGCAGGAACAACTCCTGGGGGGCACTTCTACGCTGCCTGCCCTACCTGATCATCTCCTACCTGCTTCTCGTTTGGTTTCAGCTTCATGCTGGGAGGGTCCAAAAGGAATGTCTCTGCTTTGTCATCATCCTCAAAGGAGAAATGCACCTCTGCCTCCAAGGGGGAGTCATTGAGGATGATTATCTTCTCACTGTTGCTGGGACAGTTCTGTGCCTTGTACCTGTCCACAAAAAGAGAAAAGGCTGCAGAGGAGACTGCTGCCTTTAATACATAGTGAGGAAAGCACCGTGTGCCAGCAGTGGGAGATCACGATCTAACAAGCAGGTGAAGAAAAAGGATCCCTATCAGGGACATGGGACAAGTTCTCATCCTTGTCTTACTTTGATGCCTGCCCCTATCCTTGGTGCCTCCACCCCAGAAGTGTGAGGATGCATGGGCATCTTCAAGAGTGTTTTACACAATATACGTTCAAAGGTGCCTGGAAAAATAACAGTACACCAGCGCACATGGGTTCTTTCCCCTTTCTTGGGATGCCTTCCTTGCAGGCTATAAAGAAAGGCTTTTGAAAAGACATTTAAAAAATTGTTTAGCTTTTCTCTTTCAAAAAAGTCATGAGATTGCCTTGGATTTCACAGGTTAGCTCAAAGTCTGAAGGGAGGAATTAGAAGGCATCAGTTCCCAAGGGGAATGTGAAAGATAACAAAATGACTCTTCTCTTAAGTGCGGACCTGAATTTAGAGTGAAAGGATTAAAGAGGCAAAGAGAAATCCCAGAGCATCCATCATCCTGGCTAGAGATCCTCTTTGATTTTTACACTGTTTCAATTAAATTTCCCTGGGTTCTCAAAATATTCCTATCCCTCCAGAGCTCCCATGGAGACAAGAACTTAATTTCAAATATTATAAAAAGATAAAAGAGTGACATTAAAAATAGAAATATGGCAACAGCTACAATAACACATTTTTAAGCAGACTTTTACCAGTAGTGAGGATGCAATGTAATTAGAGGAAAATGTAGCTCCCTCTGTAGGTTCCCCTCTGATAAACACATATTGGCAGGTCAACTCATAAAATCTTACAAATATTAAAGATCAATGAAAGGTTTACAAAACCATCTACAGAAGATTTGCTCAGTTGATCCACCTGTAGAGCTCAAAGCACTTTAAAAAGCACCATAAAGTTAATTTCCTAAGGGGTGAAGCTGAGATGTGGAGAGGGGGACAAGTTGCCCCAAGTCACCTTTGGGCTGGCAGCAGCATGTGGCTCTGGCCACCAAGGCACCCACCAGGCAGGCAGAGCAGCTCCATCTCTCTCCCTAGCTCCTCCAAGGCTCATTTGCCTGTTATCTGCTCAAGTTCACACATCTGTGGTCCTTCAACTCCACGTGTCAGGGACTGCCCTGAATTGTGCCACTGGGACATCATGTCTCCAAGAGTGTCCAGGAAAGCACAAGTCCCTGGACATGCCATCCCACCCCCTCACTCCATACAGGCAGCACACCAGGATGCTCTCTCGTTGGCAGGGGAAGCACATACCACTCTCTTGACTTCCCACACAGCAGTGGTCCAAAGTGGAATACCCCTGTGTTCATGATGTACTCCTTGAAGATGATGTCATCATCCTTTTTGCTCTTCCTCCAGTGAGGAAACACCAGTCTGGGCAGAGAACATGGGGAATGAGGAGCTGTGAGATGCTCCAAATAGGAAATCCGGTCAGAAAGCCATTACCCTTCTTAGAGCCTGAGTTACCAGTTCTGCTTCCCAGCTCCCAGTACAGGAAGAGATGCTGAGCACCTAAGGCAGCATGCTCTGCCCAAGCCAGAAGGGCACTGGGTGACAAGGGGCAGCCCTGGCTCAGAGTTCAGGGGGAGCAGTGTGGGAGCCTCCTGCAGGCCAGCCTTACCGTGGCTTCTGGCTGATGGTGGGGTACAGGCAGGAGCCACTGCAGGGCAGCTGGTACAGGCGCTTTGTCCCTAGGACCTCAAAATGCATCGTATGCTTGAACTGTCCTGGCACCATGGAGCTGAACCGGACCTTCAGTTCCACCTCGCTGTGGGCAGGCACTATCCACCGGCACCTGCTCAACATGGCAATTAAAGAGGAGGCTCCAGACATTGCTGAGGAGCAAATGAGACAAGGAGGAGGGTCTCTGCAGGGCTAAGGACCACATTTGGCAAGATGACCATGAAGCAGAGGGATCACCTCCCTTGAAGCTCACCTGGTGGGTCTCCTTGGGGTTGAAGCACTTTCAAGCCGTTTATTCTGTGCCTCAGATGAACTTTTGTGTGCTCCTGTAGAGGGATCCTGAAGATCTCTCTTGCCTCTGATGGACTTCTGCTTCTCCTTTGCCTCCCTCTGTTTGCCTGTAGCTTTCTGCTTCCTCGACTGGCCTCTGGTGGGGGTGGCTTGTACCTAAGGGCAGAAGGCAATGACAGGCAGGTGAGACCTGCCCTGAGACATCTGAATCCTGGAAAGCAAAAAGCAAACTGGGGGTTTGTTGACCAACAGAAGAGAGAATAAATAAACAACAGCTGCTCATGGACTTGGTCTTCCTTACTGAACTTTGTTTTGCCTAAGACAGCCCTCCTCATCCAGGATGGACCGTCTCCTCACCCAGGATCTTCTCCTCAAGGGAAGTTGAGGGTTTTAAGTGAATTTCGTCTTGTCTTACAGAACTGTCCTATGTCTCCAGCAGAGTTGTCTCTGTCTCATCCCTGGCAGAAGAGATGCCTGCAGACATGGGGCCCCATCACATCTTCACTGTCCCTTCACAGTGATCCTTTTCCATCCCACCTGCCCTCCATGCCCCTATCCAGCCTGACCCCTGCCTTAGCCCCTTCACTGCAGGCACAACAAGAGCACTCACGAGACTTCTGCTTTTGTCTTCTGCAGCAGCACCTTCTGGTGCAACCAAGACAAAGTGTTTGACATCTGCTGATGCTTCGGGGGCCATCCGCTTCTCTGGATAGGGGACCAGAGAGTAAACAGCAGCAGGGGGAACGGGAGGCCCTGAGGGACCCAGTCCCAGAACATCCAGGATCTAAAACAGAAGAGAAAACCCTGTTTATACTCCTGTCACCTTCATCCTCATACTCCTTTTCTAAAGGCACTGGGCTTTTGGCAAGGGGGTTTTTGATCTATATGGAGTGCAAGTGCTTTTTTTATGTCCAGTGGGATGAGCAGGCTCCAGAGCAGAGACAGGACCTATATGTGGGACCAAGAGAGAAACCTCTCCCCTGAGTGACTCAGCTGAAAAGAACATAGAGATGCCCTGCCCTGGGACCATTTTTAGTCATTTCCAGGGAAACTCTCTGAACAGATGGGATACTTGTCCACAGAGCACTCCCTCTTTCCACCCATCTGAGGGATGGTGAGAGCCTCCCCATGCACATGGCTGCTGCAGAGCCACTGTGTAACATCATCAGTGGCCTGGACAAGGCTCTGTGCCATTGTCACTTGGGGAGACACAACACTCCAGGGCCCAAGACCATGGCAAGTTCAGCGCCCGAGCCTTGTGTAGTTTTACCTGCTCTGCTGCTGGCAGCTTGCCACTCTCCAGGATCGTCCTCAGCAAGTCCTTAGAGCTCGGAACCTGGATGTCCAAGCAGGGCACCCCGAGATCCTGGCCTCCAACTGGCTCTTCTGCCCTTCCTCCTTCTTGTTGAGATAACTGGAGTCCCTTTTGGACTCTGTGTTTTTCCACACTCTCCAGCTTCTTGTTCTTCTTCTGGCCTTTGTGTCTAGATAAAGGCTGGGACTTGTCTTTCACTTGATGCTTCACCTTCTCTTGTTTAAGTGACAGGATACCCCGAACCCTGTCCCAGGATGACACAATATGTGCAACATCCTTCTGCGATGACTCATAGATCTTAAGTTTCCGGGCCAGGTTCTTCTCACTGTCTGTTTGTGCCTCCTTTTTGGTTTCCCTCTTCTGTGAGTCTGCAGGTTCCTCAACCTTCATTGGGCAGGCATCCTTCTTCTGCAGCTCTCTTTGGTTTTCCAAGTGCTCTGGTTCCTGCTGTTGCCTTTCTTCATGCTCTTGAGCCAGATGCTCAAGCTCCCTTCAGCAAGCCAAACAGAAAACATCCCTGAGAGTCACCACCAGACACTTGGGTTAACTCTAATTCCAGTTGGCCCTGCACTTCATTCCTTGACCCTGAGGCAAAGCAGAACTGTTAGATCACCTCTGTGGACTTTTGTCAACCCAGAGAGGTTGGAAACAGTGAGGAAAGGTGGCAGGGAACCTCCAGGGCCAGCCAAACCTAAGCCTTGCCATCATAAGTTCTCAGCTGTGCCACTTCTCCCTTAAGGTCCACTTGGACACCTTCAGCACACTTCCAAAGGCTCATCCACCATCTCTCTGTGCCAATGCCTGAAGCCCTCTCTTTCTTGATTTCCCAGTTTAAAACACCTCACAAATTGCTAACACCTATTTATCCCTCTTCCAATGCTTACTTGGCTCATTCAGACCCCTCCTCCCTGGGCACAGCCTGCTCCTTAATGAGAATAATCATATCAATCAGAAAGCAAAGGTCGCAGGAACTCCCCTCCTGG